GGAGCAAGTGGCTTCACTTTCTTATTGAAACATGCCCTGAAGCAGGTCTGTGCAAAACATTAACTGGACCAATGCTAGAATGATGATGCTTAACCTGAAATAAGGACATCCAGGAGGCCTGGCAATGACATCATGTGTGAGAACAGCTGTGTGCTGACATTCCAGGGAAGACAAAAACTGAGGTGTACCTACAGGGTTTATATACGCAAATGTCTTATTTGTATATTGAATCACATAAGATGTGATGTTTCTCTCAAATTCTTCAAACTGTGATATTTTCTCAACTCTCTAAGAACTTTAACGGGTGCCTCTACCTCAAACTACGGCAAAAAATTAGGGGACTCCTACAATGCTGTGATGAAAACTACAGAGACAGCCCCTCATTTAATATCTGACTGGGATTAAAAATGACTGCTGGAGGCTCGGTGCCTGTGGCTCAAGCGGCTAAGGCGCCAGCCATATACACCTGAGATGGTGGGTTTGAATCCAGCCCAGGGCCACCAAATAACGATAGCTGCAACGAAAAAAAAAAATAGCCAAGTGTTCCAGCAGGCACCTACAGTCCCAGCTACTTGGGAGGCAGAGGCAGGAGAATCGCTTGAGCCCAGGAGTCGGAGGTTGCTGTGAGCTGTGATGCCACGGCACTCCACCCAGGGTGACAGCTTGAGGTTCGGTCTCAAAAAAAAAAACTGCTGAAAAAGGGATGGTGCATTGACACTGGCTGTTGAGAACAGCACTCTGCCCAGCAATAGCAAACCCACATGGAGGTGATTTCCCCACACGTTTCAGGACATCACTGCTGCCTCCCCTCCCCGCCCACCATCTCCACACACATATCTGCACGTGTACACACACACACACACACGCAACATGTCAAACAGGAGCTCAATGAACTTACAAAATATCCTTTAGCACAAGACATCTCTAAGTGTGGTTCCCCAAGATGGGCACAAAGGGTCCACAAAGTCCAAACTAAGACACTTTAACCCTCATTGTTTCACTGAGGTGCGGTGGAATTTTCTAGAGATTACATGATGTAGAATGATGCCACTTCTCCAAAGGCTAATTAATAGAATTTGTGCTTTGGTATCTTTGCAGTTTAAGACCTCATGCTTTGATTTCTAACATGATATATGTGAATCAATGTAACCACATACACAAAAGCTTTTTTGGATGCTCAATAACTGAGGGGTCCGGAGACCAAAAAGAGAAAGCAAAAAAAGGGTTTGAGAACCACTGCTCTAACAAATAATGCATTCTAGTTCATTGTGAAGTTAGCAGACATTATACCCAACACGGTATACAGTCAGTTCTGAAAAAAAAACTACAGCCCTGAATCTGTGGCATTTTTCCTCAGCAAGAGTTTATTTACCAAAATATACCAAGAGTTCCTACTACAGGTTGAGCATCCCTTATCTGAAATGCTTGGGACCAGGAGTGTTTCAAAATTGAGATTTTGGAATATTTGCATTAGACTTACCAATTGAACATCCCTAATCTAAAAATCTGAAATGTGAAGTTCTCCAGTAAGTTTCTGGATTTCAGATTTTCAGATTTGGGATACTTGGTCTGTATAAATGAACTCAGCCCAAGTGATAAACTTCCTGCCCTCATTAAAACAGGCAAATAAATATAAAAATGGGAAGTGGGTGGATGGGAGCCTGTGTATCCCTGGTGAAAAGGAAATGTAACATGAGAAGATTGGAACCTTTAGGAATTTCTGCAAGACAAAACTGGATTGTTGTATCTAGTCAGTGACTCCAAGGCAGACAAATGGAACAAAAATTCCCAAGCAGAACCCCAAAACATTCCAGGCATCAGAGGCATGAGGGTGGTGGACTAGAAGACCCCTAAAAGTTCTCAGTAGTAATCAAGGAGCCAGGATGGAAATTTGCAGGATGAGAATTTAAAGAAAGCTGGGCACCGCCACAGCCCAAGGAGGCCTCTACGGGCTGCTGAAGTTCTGATTCTTGGTCTGCATACTGGCGTAACTACAATCAGTGCACAAAAATCCAGAAAGCTGCATTCTTCTAAACTATGCACTTTTTTTGTATGTATAGTTCAATAAACTGGTGAGAATAGATTCATGAATGCAGACACTGAATTAGCCTAAAACGTCATCCCTAAACTAAGAAGATAAAAAAGGCACACTGATGCGAGTCCCAGAAAAGCCAATAAAAGTCTAAGATGAAAAAGAACAAAGTACATAAAAACATTAATTTTTAAATCATCTTCTAGAGCCAAAGACTTACACCTTTACATCAAAAGGTTCTACACTAGAGCTCAGACAAAATTAATGAAAAAAAAAACTCCTAAATATAATCAAGTAAAAATTTTAAATTCCAAATATAAAAATCTAACAAACACGAAGATTACAGATAAAAAGGGGCTTCCTATCTTTATATGCCACGCCAATGGCCAGTGAAATAGGTTTCTTAAAAATTTAAGTGAAAAACAGTCATGTAAGACTTTGACAGCCAAGTAAGTTATTAGAATATGAAAACATATTCAAACAATATTGTCAGATATGAGGGGCTCCAAGTAGGCTCACCACACCTCATGGGCTCTCACTATCAGGTTGACATAAAGAACTTAAAGGTGAAAAAGAAAAAAAGACAGAAAAAAGGACATAAAGGTTGAGGAAGACATGATAAAGTAAAAAAATCAGTGAAATTAAACCAGAATTAGATTTTGATTAAAATCAAAGTCTAGGCTGGGCTCTGTTGCTCAGTGAATGGAGCCGTCAGGTACAAAACTTGCCTGGGCCTGCTTAATTTACAAAAAAAAAAAAAATCAAAGTCTAAATAATGTACATGATTTACAAATCTAAATCAGTCTCAAAGAAAAATGGGCAAAGGATGGATGTAAAAACTCCCTCCCCCTGCCAAAACACACACACACACACACACACACACACACAGAATGTGTGAAGGAACCTTAAAATAGTTGATTTTTAAAATCTCTTACCAGATCAGCGAAGACTACAAAATTATAATAGTGTTCACTGGCAATGGTCTTAGGAAACTCACAGTTTTGTGCGCTACTGGGCTAGGGTGAGGAGCACAAATTCAGAAGGAGAACCTGACGAAATGGATGTGGCTCTTTGGTCTGTGTGCGCAGGTCAGAGATGTTTATCAAAGTGAAAAGCTACAAACTAGCTAACCTGCAACAGGAGAGGACTGAGTCATTAATCGTGGTGCAGCCAGAGAAGTCGCCTATGCCACCATGAAAAAAAAAGTTCAGAACAGGTATGAATTTGTCAACACGGAAAGATGCCCAACAGTAGAAGTTGCGTGTAGACTTCAAAGGCTTCTAAAAATGCATTAAACGTTCTTTAACCTGTAGTACTTAGGTGCGTTCTATACGATCCTTACACAGAAGTTTGAAATACTTTCTCCCTCTACAAAACACAAGTGTTCTTCCAAAAATGAAGACAGTTTCCTTCAAATCAAAGTGCTATGTGTGTGTTTTTTTAAACAAGGGTTCTGAAATGTAAAGGTTCCTGAAGACTTAAACTTCCGCTCTCAGTGTCTGTAAACTGAGGGAGATGGTCTAAATCTGATCACTAGCCCTAAATTTCTACCGTTTTTCCTCCTAGCCTCTTTGTTTCAATTTATAGCTGTCATATACTTATCCCAAAACATACTACTATAAAATAAATAACTATAAAATAAATATTTCAAGTATAAGCACTTTCTAAAATAACAAAATTTGGAGACTTAGCAAATGTTCATCAAGCCTTAAACAAGAACACAAGCAACAGTTCTGAAGTCTAAGGAACACTTTACATGCCCAGTAACTGACAGAGCTGTTCAAAAGCTTGAGAGGCCCTCTTGAAGTGAAAGAGTAATCTTTCACACTTATTAAAATCAAGTGAGAAATGCCCCTCATTTTTGTAGACAGAAAAAGTTACTACCGCACATCCAAACTACGGCATTCTGTATCCATACAAGCCACTTACATTCATGCCTGGTACACATTAAGTTCTCAAAATAATCATAACCCACTGACATTATAATTTCCAGATTCTCAGAATCAGGCACCTTTCTTGGTTCTAACACAATACTCAGATGTTAACATTTCCAAAAACTAATTTACCTTTCTCCAGACATCTATTTCCTGTGGCATTTATTTCATGGGGTGCACGTTGGGGGAAGCCTCTCTATTCTTGACACAACCTTCACGCCTTGTCCATCCATCACTGCTTACCTGGGCTCATTTCTCCCACAAAACCATGAGCTCCTTGAAAGCATGGACTGGCCCTGGTTAAACAATAATTAATGAAATATAAGGGGTTTGGTCCAAATGACTCTGCAGATCCCCTGAAGATTTAAAGCTGTAGTTCTGTGGTCTATATAGTAACCAAAAGGTCTAAACTTCTAA